TCTGATTTGAATAAAAGGATTCCAGTATCAGATTTTCCTCTATTCTTTGCTGAGGAACCTAGACATATTGTTCTGATGTATATAGAGGATTGCAAAAGGGAAGGAGTGCCTGTTCCAGCCAATGTGTTTCAACTTGTCAAGCAACCCCTGCCAGATGCAGGAGAAGAAGAAGAAGAAGCAGAAGTTCCACTTCAGAGGAAAAGACCTCAACCTGTAGCAGAATCTGAACCTATCCAGAAGAAGGCTAAGATTGCTGAGAAACCCAAGGATCTTCTGAAGAGAAAAGATTCTGGAGAAGTTGTCTCTGCTAAGAGGATTAAACTCAAAGGTACTAAAGCTTTTGTTACTTCTAAAACTGTTGTTATAAATGATTCATCTATTAAGTCTGTTCCCAAACCCCCTGTCACTCAAACAACATCTGTTGTTGCCCCCAGTTCTGTATCACCTCAGAAACAACCTACTGCTTCTGTATCAAAACCACCTCAACCTAAATTACACATCAAACACTTCACTCCACGTCCATCACCAACTGTTCCACAACCTACAGAACCACAACAAACAGAACCACAACCATCAGAACTACCACAAAATTCTGATAAACAAAACTCTGCTCAACCACAAACAGAAAATCAACCAAAATCTTCTGATCATCCAGAAAAACAAACCACAGAAGATCAACCAGAAAAAGACTTTGTCATTACACCATCACAAATTCCATCTTCTGAACCTGTAGCAACTGTTACTTCTGAACCCTCTAAAGTAACTTCTGCTCCTGAACCACCCACTCAACAATCTGATATCCCTTCAGAACCATCTCATATCCCTGAGACAGAAGTTCTTGATATCACTCCATTAAAAACAGTGTTTCAAGTTTCTTCTACCTCTTGTACACCTGAAACATCTTCAAATTCATCTGAATCAGAAATTCATCCTGATTTTCTGATTAATCCATCTGACAAATACCCTGTTCATGAACCTGAACCTGAACCAACCTTACCTACCAAAACTACCATTCCAGAACCTATGCCTCCACCTGCACCTTCATCTGAGATGATTGTTCCTACTTCTAATCCATCATCATCTGGAATATCTTGTGCCCAAGTGTCTTCTCTGTATCATAATTTATCTTATGGTTTCAAACTAAAAGAATTTTATGATAGAGTTGAGCCTTCTGAACCTTTGAAACCCCTTAAACCAAAACTCAAACCAACCCTTCCATCTGTAATCCTTTCATATATTAAATCTATGGAAAATGAAGGATCCTTAGCCCCCATATCTGCTACATTTGGTAAAGCTGCTGTTTCAGCTCTGCATCCTGCATCTGATAACACAGTTGCATCTGATAAACCATCAAACTCTGCTTTCGTACCATACTCCAATGCATTCTTTGATGTTGTTTACCCACGCACAAGACCTCAACCAAATCTGCTTAATGCTTTAAACAGATCATTACCTCAGAAACCAGAAATTCCATTCTTTCCATATGTTCCCCCTCCTCTGATTTCCATTCCAAAATCATTGATACCACCAACTCCAAAACCTAAACAGATGACTCTGGAAACCTTGCTTAAACCACCACCCAGACTTAATATTGAACATTTATTTCAAACGTTTTTGCAAGAAATACAGATGTCTTTAGGTACTGTTCAGAAAAGATGTTCTGAAACTATGGATGCAAATGAGACTGACATCATCTGGAAAGGATTTCTCAATAGATTCAACACTGTGGCTTCTAATCTGAAGAACATCTGTTCTGATGATGCAAAGCTCAGAGCTGAAAGAACTCAATTCTGGATTGTAAACAAAACTGAACCTCTGCTGTGTTTGGATGCTCCTCCACCTCCTCCTCCACCAGAACCAACTGCCACTGCATTGACTATGACTCTGGTAGAACCCTCTTCAGGATCTCCAGAACATATGGCAATTGACTCTGCTCAGGATATAGAACCTCCATCATCAGAGATAAAGACAGAAAATCCAGATTTGGGAAACAAGATTGCTACTCTGGAAGCTGGTCAATCTGAAATAAGATCTTGGATGGCGAAGCAAGACAAGAAATCTGAGGACATGTCAGAGTGGATGTCCAAACAAGATGAGAAGAATGAGACAATAACTAAGTTCATGTCAAAGCAAGAGCAATCACAATCTGAGATTACAGACCTATTGAAGATGCTTTTGTCTAAACACACTTAGATTTTTTTCTCATGTTTGTGCATCTGTTGTTTTTGCATCTGAATGTTTTTGTTATATCTTCTGATGTACTTTTGCTCTGTTATGATTGAATGAAACAGTTTGTTATTCTCCATTGAATTATCTGCTATTGTTCTTTTTAATTGTCTTTATTAAAAGTTTTTACTTTTTGCTTATGACAAAAAAGGGGGAGAAAATAAAGATCTGAACTATTTAATATAATTTCACTAGAATGAATCTTCAGACATATCTATTCTTTCTAATATCTAAATTGACTATTTCAGAACTTTTGATAAGAACACTCTATAAAAGAATCTCTGAGTTTCTCAGATCATTTATCTTTTATCAAACTCTGAATCTCATATCTACAAGATAGTCTGACCCTTGATTATTACAAGATCTGACTCTGAAGATTTCTCAAGATAAAAAGGGAAGTTTCTATTCCTTTTTCATATTTAACTCAGGGGGAGATTCATCATCTCAGGGGGAGTTATAATTCTTTATGTTCAATTAAATAAAATTTCTGATACTTTTTGTCATCATCAAAAAGGGGGAGATTGTTAGAACACAGATTGGTTCTTAATAATTACTCTTTGTTTTGATGATAACTGTTAGGAAATTTATATTTAAGAATTATATACTCTAAAATTTGTTTGAGAGTTTTACTGCAGATTAATTTTATATTAACTCTCTAGAAGCAAATCTGCCTTGAATACAAGAAGCTATTCTGACTCTGAAGCGCCAGATGCACCTTACAGAAGAATTTGTTTGCTCCTTACAGAAGATCCTGAGCGTAGTCTCCAGAAGGATCTGAAGCAAGAAGCTCCAGAACATTCTGAGTCAGAAGCATCTGAAGATAGTCAGAAGCATCTGAAGATAATCAGAAGCATCTGAAGCTGAAGCATCAGAAGTATAGAAGAATATTGATTGAAGAGTTTCTCAAAGCATTGATCTACAGAAGTTTCTGAAAGTACTTACGCTGCCAAGTACTGAAGTTCTGTGTCAAGATGCTCTGATGATAAACACGCTAGAAGCACACACGCTGCAGAAGACTCTGATACAGCTTAGTTCTGAATCTCATCAGAAGACTCTGATCCATTCAAACTCTGAAGAACTTGCTGAAACTGAAGAAGTGTTTTCAAGAATATATCCGTTGGATCTATTCAACGTCTTTTTCCTTATTTGTGCTAGACACACTTACACAGACAAAAAGGATTTATCTGTGCCATCTATTTCAAGGAAAGGTCAGTGCATGTGAAGACAAAAAGGCTCAGACCTTTTGGACTCTCTTTTCAACGTGCATGATTCAGCTGCCTATAAAAGGAGTTTCTCACTTCATTCTTCAGTTACACACTTGCTGAAAAGAAATCACAATATTCTATAAGCTATCATTCTTATTCTTCATAGAATCTCATTGTACTTAAAACTTAAGAGAAAAATCACTGTTGTGATTATAGCTTTATAGAAGCATTAAAAACTCTTGTATTTAATTTACATTGTTTGTAAAGGATATTCCTTAAGAGGATTCGGTGTGAATCAGTAGCTCTTGAGAAGACTAAGAACTGTAGTTCTTAGGTGATACTATTGTAATCAGTTTGATTTAATAGTGGATTAAGTCCTTGTTGAGAAAGGCAAATCACTCTGGAAGGGTGGACTGGAGTAGTTGTTTAACGAACCAGGATAAAAATAATTGTGTGATTATTTTCAAGTATTAATTTTCCATACTTATTCAACCCCCCCCCCCTTCTAAGTATTATCTCACCTTCACATTCTTGCTATTACTTATTGTCATGTTATAAGGTGGGTCAAGGTGTATGCAAGTTTTCATAATTGGAGAATAATGAAGCTAGCAAATTTTGGTTAAAAAAATATTAAAGTGACATACACCTTTGTTATTGCACGTTAACAACATGTAATGAATTCCATAAACAACATTTGATGTCACAGAATTATGTTGAAAGTTTGTATTAGCCTAGAATCCAACAACAGTTACAAAAAAGAAGGTTCTATAGTATGGCCTAATACAACATTGATGTTTCTCAAGATGACTCTCTCTCCATTTACGTCTCACCGAAGAAGCGCAAGCTTTATTGATGATGGATCCTTCAATGTTGCAGATAATTCTCTTGGCTAGGATGTGTTTTCTTTGAATATTGTCAAGCTTGAAATTCGGTAGTACAACGTTATGGCAATCGATGATTTGAGAAACATTGCCATCCAAATTCAACAAAGCCCATTGCTTTTTCTACAAAGGCCATGCTAGGCGATATGATTTTGTACTGCAAGAATAATGAGACCTGCAAGTTACACAAAACAGGGTAATACAAAGACCGCCGCGGCATCCCGTACACTACGCAATTCATCCTGCAAAATGAGATGCAAAACCATGAATGACTCACGAAACCGCAAGCCATGTGAACACGCGGTTAAATTCGTCAGCCAACTTGACAGGATAGTAAAAGCTCACAACGTTTGATACAATAGGAAATATTCTGGTGTGAAAATGTTGCAAAATTAAAACTTAAATCTACAACAGAACCATTTCATTCAGGTCGTCATGTGAACAAAGGCACCAATAATGTACCTGTGACGATTGCTATGCAGTCGACGTATTCCGCACCCGACTCACACACAAGGATGCATCCTCCAAGTTGCTCATAATTCCCGCTCCGGATTTACAGGCCACACATGAAAAAGAAACAAGAAGAATAAGTAAAAAATAAAGGCAACGACAACCAGGGAAACATTTCTCAGAGTATGCTGCACGCTTTTATGCCGCAGAGGTCCTGTTAGCAATTGAATATCTTCACATGCTCGGAGTTGTTTATCGAGACCTTAAACCTGAAAATGTACTTGTTCGAGAAGACGGCCACATAATGCTCTCAGACTTCGATCTTTCTCTTAGGTGTGTTGTTTCACCTACCCTTATCAGAACTCACGACAGCGATGCTTCAAATTGGGCAGCTGGTGGTGCATTTTGTGTCCAGCCTGCTTGTATTGAGCCTACATCTGTATGCATCCAGCCTGTCTATTTTATGCCAAAGCTTTTTTCTCAGAAAAATAAAAAACCACGAAAGCCTAAAGCGGATCCTGGCCTGACAACTAGCGCACTTCCAGAACTTCTTGCCGAGCCTACATCAGCCCGGTCGATGTCCTTTGTTGGCACACATGAATATCTCGCCCATGAAATAATCAAAGGAGAAGGTCATGGAAGTGCAGTTGATTGGTGGACATTCGGCATTTTCTTGCACGAGTTATTGTATGGTAAAACCCCTTTCAAAGGATCCGGAAACCGAGCTACACTGTTCAATGTAGTAGGGCAGCAGCTCAAGTTTCCCGAGTCACCAGCTACGAGTTATGCCAGCTGGGATCTAATCCGAGGTTTGCTTGTGAAGGAGCCACAGAACTGTCTTGGAATGAAGAGAGGCGCCACCGAGCTCAAACAGCATCCTTTCTTCGAAGGCGTGAACTGGGCGTTGATTAGGTGCAGTACGCCACCGGAAATTCCAAGACCAACAAACCATTCTGCTATCACCTGTGAAACCTGTACACAAAGCAAACCAGACGAATTCTGCTTTAACTCCTCCCACACCAGACAGACAACCTGCAATGCAACAAAAGAAACACATAAATGAGAAGGTAGTACAGGCAGCTCTGCACACACTAGCCTGCTACAATACTCTGCACACACTACCCTGCTACTACTCCTCCATGCCATACCAACAAACACACCTACAGCCTGCATAACCTGTACAAAAAAAAAGGAAATCGCAGAATGAGCAAGAAGGAGGGCTTTTCTCACAACAAAAAATCCTTCTTTCAAGACTGACTCCTCCACCATTTTCCTCGGACCTGAAGCATCAAAACCAAGATTCCATTCTTCATTTTGGAATCCTCATCACAAATCCTCTCTCCTTCAACACTTATTAAAAACCTCCAACAAAATTTCATTCACCATTAACTAACCACTCCAAAACCTTTTTCTCAAAACCTGTTACAAATCACTACCAACCAAAACTTCTGCACCTAGAACAAATATACAACAACTTTGAATCCTTCCCTCATTCACCACTTTCATCCATCTTCAAGCTCTGAAAAATAAATTCAACCTTCAACTCATTTCAGTCAAAACTTCATACATCATCTTCTTCTGTTTCCAATAAACTCCCATCAAACTACAGAACCTCATCTCTGTGCCTTAATCACACGCCGCCTTGCCAAAATAACCTCGCAACCACCTTGAATCATTGATACGGTAACACAAACCTTCAACAATCACTCAATTCCATAACCATCAAAAAACCAAAAATGAGATACTGAGAGAAGAGTTTCGAAAAGCAAAAGAAAAAGCTGGCACTGAAATGCCTAAAACCTCATCCAATTTCTCAACTCTCGTCAAAACCTTCAACGCATCTCCACAATAAAACCGCAACCACCACTTCCACCACTCGAAACCACCGTGAAAACCCAGAAGAATTCCATCTTCTTCAACCAACTCAAGCCTTTTTTTTAACCTCACCTCAACAGCCGCACAACAAATTCTTCCGACAAATTATCCCAACGACTCACTCATCACGACACTGTCCAATGTTCTGCATCTGAAACATTTCCAAAACAAACTTCAATCACCATTCCTCCTCAAAACTTCATCAACATCCTTCAATCACCTTCCAGAAATTCATCTCCTCACACCGCGTCTCGCACCAACTCAAACTCCAAAAGTGATCTCGACAACTGGTTCTCCTAGAGGATATTTCTGCTATTGGATCACCCAACCAAACAACTGATGCGCTCACTAGCTGCTGACCATCCACCGCAAGCTGAAACCATAAATATTAGAACCTGTGATCAAGCAGTTCCCAAAAGCGACAAGAGGTCATTTTCACAAACACATGGTGTGCGATCTTATTCGAACCACACCATACGCAGCACTTTGCTCGTTCCATGACCAGGCGATATTCATCCCTCTTCAAAACATTGCTTCACTAATTTTCTTCACAACAACAACCCACAAACCGCAAACTCTTCTTCAAATTTCTAAATCACCTTCCTTCAAAAACTAAAGAACAGAGACCGAGAATGGAAACAAGGTGAAGAGGATCGAAGATAAAACAATAGACTTTGAATCAAATGGTGTAAACTTGGATAAACTGCTCATACTAGAAATCACGAAAGGGGAAGGATCGAGTTAGAGATGTGCGTTTTGGTTGAGCTTTTCTGGATTTGATGGTATCGATACAATGAGGGTCGGACTCTGCTGGCGTTCAGGTTTGTTTCGGTGGTATCAGACCTGAGGCTGATCCTCTTGGCTTCGTGTGTTTTGGGCCTAGAAGCCCATTTGCCTTCCATTTTCCAGATCCCTTAATCCGTATCACCACCCTCTCTTTTCTTATTTATTTTATTTCATTTTGTATTATATCTTATTTTGGAATATGTTATTATTAGTATATTTGTAAATATATATTGTTTACTTTATATTTAGATTTGTATTCAAATTTCTTTTAGAGTTTTACTTTATATTCATTTTATTTTTTTTAGAGGTTGAATCCATTACTCATTTATTATTGGATGTTTTTGTCCCATTTTCCTTGTTTTGGGTCGATGACGAGATCACCACCGTTTAGCCGTCAAATTATTGACGTGAAACAAAGGATCTGAGACCACCTCTTTTCTTTCTTATTTCTTATTTCAATTTTTATTTTGACTATTTGGATCGATGAAGTCTTTTTATCCGCAAGCGTCAGATTTTCGAAGTCGATAACCTTCCTGATTTCAAATCTATGGGGATGACCATTTGGGTCATATTTCTTACTTTGGGATCGCGATAGGCTACCTTCGATTAATCGACATTTTGTTTGTGGTTAAGACGAGATCGCATTCTTTTGTGCCCCGATTCGATACACTAACCAATGTGCAACTGCTTTAATTTCTGTCAAATATTAACTGCTTTATTTTCCAGTCATTTACATTCTTGTACATATTATATATTCTGTATATTATTATCTTGTATATATTCAAACTAACTTGTACAAAACACTTAATAAATATCAAACCATAAAATCCTAATTGGTGGACTGTTTATTTATCCGTATTCTGTATACATCTATCTCATCTCTTTGGTAGGTTATCAAATCTCTTCAATAAACAAATAATTCTTTGTATTGAACTAAAAAGAGAGGATTGGGTGTAGACCTCTTCTTCTTCGAGTGTTGGGATGCCCACAGTAGTGAGGGTGGTCTCGATACTCGTCTTTCAATACGAAGACGCGACTTTATCCACCTATCTCTTTCCACACCTTCTCACAATTTCTCTCACATTTCTTTCTCACCTAAAACCTCGGTCCTGTACCGAGTGCATTTTCAATTCCTTTTCATATACAAAACTTGAATGGTCGTGGAGTGGTTAGGCGTAGGCCTTCTCCTATCCCGAGTGCTTGACGTTTACCGTAGGGTTCTCTGTCACAAAAGCACTTACCATTCAAAACCAAAAACATCTTTAATAAGAGAACGAAGTTCTCTTTGCATTGAATTAAAGAGAGAGGATTGGGTGTAGACCTCTTCTTCTCCGAGCGTTGGGATGCCCACTGTAGTGAGGGTGGTTTCGACGCTCGTCTTTCAATACAAAGACGCCTTGTTCGCCACACCTTTCATAACAAAAACTTTGAGATAAAGAATTGGGTACTACCCGTAGGGGTTACTATCCGAGGACCTATCTCGCCCCAAAAGCAATCTCAACCAATCAAACATGATACCTTGCTTCGCATGGCGAAATCCAATCTTTCAAACAGGATATGTTACGTCCGTTCTACCGTAAACAGGTAATGCCTAAGTCTCCAACGAGCGAGCAACAAAACACCTAACTGCTAGAATGCGCACGATAGCATCATCCGTAAAGACATCAACACACTGTTAGCACGAACTACGTTGCTCTGACTTCTCATGTCAGATGAGAATACGTAGGCACAAGACGGTGATGTCTTGGCGAGCTCCCTTTTTCACCTTTCACCGGTAGTTGGCCGAACTACGGCTGCTCTGATTTCTCATACCAGATGAGAATACGTAGGCACAAGACGACGATGTCTTGGCGAGCACTTTCCCCCCATATTTATAGTCCCCCGAACTACGTCGACTCTGACTTTCTCACATTTATTGAGAATACGTAGGCATAGGACTGCGAAGTCCTACCGAGTCTGTTCTTTCTCTTTTTCCCTGTTCTCTCTTTCCTCCTAACTTTCTTGTTTCTAACCTTTCTTTTACCCCGTAGAACACTTCTTATAGCATAATGTTTAAGCAAATAAATTCACACGTCGACAAACAAAAGGTTCCCATCGAGTACGATGGATGCGAGGGGTGCTAATACCTTCCCCTCGCATAACCGGCTTCCGAACCCGTTCTTGGTCGCGAGACCATCTTATCCATTTCTTTCTTAAGGTTTTCTCGATATTTTCCTTTCCCCTCATGGGATAAATAAAGTTCGGTGGCGACTCTTCTGTCTATTCTTTTCGCCTCCCCATCGTTGCGCGATGCATTTTTTCGAGTAGCGACAGCTGGCGACTCTGCTGGGGAAGTTCCTAGCAAGCCAAACCTAATTTGTTTGTCGTGTTTGTGTTTTGTTTTTTGCTTTAATTTATTTTGTGTTTTATTCTCTACCTGTTGGGTTTATTGGGATGGGTTGTAAGGATAAAGCTTTCTACCCGAGCTTTTGAGTATACACTAAGATTAGGAGGTGGTTTCTTTCTGATTTGCGAGACGTAGGACTCGTTGAATTGGTTTGAATTCCACCGCTCAGATGAGACCCCTTTGGGATGATTATGTCTTACGAGTAGTCGTAATGGCATTCTTATTTCCAACTTGGGAGTCCGCGATTCTGAGGACCTTTTGTAGAACCTTATTCCGAAGGTTGCTAAAACATAACTCTGTGTTCATCCTTTTGAAGGAATTACCGTCTTACGAGTAGTCGTTCTGATGGGAAACTTTTGAGGGTTAGTGCATGGGACTTTGTTTAAAAGCCTTTGGAATACCCTCTTATAAACCAATATATTACCCACCCGAGGTGAGAGGTATCTCGTTGTATTTTCTTGCAGAATTTGTGACTTTGATCCTTTGTGTGTTGCATTAGCATTTTGCATTACATTTCATTTGCATCTCATTCTTGCATATCCATCCTCAACCGGAGCAGAGAGCTTACCAGTCTTTTGTCCAACCCGCAGTTGATTTCCCGACATTCACATTGGATTTGAGTTAGCTTCTGGAAGGATCATGGACTCAGAGGAGCAAAATTTGGTTGTTACGAGGGCAGAGTTTGAGATGATGAAGAATCAGTTGGATCAACTCATGGAGGCCATGTCAGCTATGACAAGAGGAGAAACCAATGTTCAGAGGACTCCAGTGAACAATGTTGCTCAAGCTCAGCATGTGCAGATTCCTGTCGAAGATCAAGAGCATACTATTGTCAGAGATAGAGATTCATCTTCTCTCCATGACTCGGACTATCAGAACTTCACCTTCTCTGTGCCAGATTCCCAAAGGGTTGTTCCGAAGATCACTCCTAAGGACCCACAGACTGTTGAGTTTATGAGAAGATATCGTCTGTTGGATGAAAAGCTTGACGCCCTGATGAGTCAAGATACTCTTAA